ATAATTCCAGAGGTAGCCTAGTCTGCTAAAAAAGTCGGTTTCAAAAGTGAGTGGTTCCTGTCCATTGATTTCGATTTGCTCGGATGCTGCACCTTACCACTTCGGCAGCTTCCGATTTTTAATGACAGAAGGATCGCCAGTGTAATCCTATCTAATATTGCTTTATTGCTTTTGTGCCATAAGTACTCGACTGTATCGTTTTGTAATCGAATTTCTATTGCTGTAGGCTTCGGAGGCGCGCTGTACCGTTTCAACACTTTAATTGTAATAACTTTCATATGTTAGAATCGTACTGTCGTGATCTCGTGCACTATTCCAGGCGTGTTTTCAAGTTACTTTTGTTGCAGTTCTTTAGCGATGAGCAGTGCAGCAAGTGCGACTCAACGTCTTCAGCCGAAACGTCAAACCCTCGACGAGGCTTACGCGCCTCCCGCAAATTTCCTCGAAATCGAAGTGGTGAATCCAATTACGCACGGAGTTGGCAAAATGCGCTACACGGACTATGAGATTAGACTCAGGGTGGGTTATGTATGGAGATTTTATTTACAGTACTTCCCATCGGTGTCGCTGTTAATCACGTGACACAACGAGTTATGCTAGGGCGCGATGTCTTTAATAATTTTCTATTGCAAAATCGTAAATTCCAAAAACTTTATCTTCAGAAATCTCTGTCGCGGTCACGCGTGCTTTTTGGGATATTCATGTGCAACAGTTCTACGGTTAAAATCGTGTAAACTTGTTGCTTGTGGTGCAACAAGTTTATACGATTTTGCAAAGGGTTCATTTGCTTGTTCCGCTTCAACCAATGGTTTTTTCACATTCCCAATATATGTGTAATGATAGTTGCAACTTATGGAAGAGTGTACCTTTTACGGCACTATTGCATTATTACAACCCCAGTGGGGGTGAGATGGGTCAAAAATAATTTTCGCTGAAACTTCGGCTATGGGGGTTATCGAGGGTCCTGATCACGAATATGACATTCATTTTTGGCGCTTTGCCACGCCAGGTGGCCACCACTGATTTCCACCAAATTCGCTGTAAACTTGTGTATAGGGGTTATTTGGGGCCCTGATTACGAATATGACACTCGTTTTTGACATTCATGCTGTTTAACACAGATTTTATGCTTTTCTGAGCTCTCTCAGTTATAGCGCCTAAGACTGAGCTTGAAGAGGTGATGAGACTTCAGAGAGGGTTAACCACGCACCGTGTGGCAAAAGTTGAAGTGTGTGAGATCACAGGGTGAAAGGCTTACTCACTTTGGAGCTCTGCACTCTCTAAAAGCTTAGTCCTGATTGCGATCCAATCAGTGAGAGGCGCAGACGAGCAGGAAATAGGCGCCAAATAGCGCCAACGACAAAAACGAATGTCATATTCGTAATCAGGGCCTCAAATAACCCCTATACACAAGTTTACAGCGAATTTGGTGAAATCACAGTGGCGCCAACGCCAAAAATGGATGTCATATTCGTGATCAGGACCCTCGATAACCCCCATAGCAGAAGTTTCAGCGAAAATTATTTTTTGACCCATCTCACCCCCCACTGGGGTTGTAATAGTGCAGTGGTGCGTCATAAACATGGTAACAAAATTTCTGGCATAGAAAGTGTAATTATTCAAAGGTTAATCAGAAAAAAACGTCCAGGCGTGGAGCGCTTCTTCAAAACGGTTTTTCACATGTTAAAAGGGTTTATGCGTAGAGTATAAATCTAATGATGATTTTAGAAGTGGTCCTCAAAGAAACGGTCCTGCTAGAAGGAAGGGTAGATGTATTTCTCAAGAACGGAAACTTTTGCCTTTCAATATACCTTCCGGCATTTGTAGCGTCGAATAGTTGCATATAGGAAGGGTTTTCTTCAGTGATTGAGTTCAATCAGAAAGAGCGCAAGAAAGTGGTAATCGAAGAAATGCAAAATATCTCTAGGGGGATCGAAGCACAAACCATATATCAACATTTTTTGGCTTTCTAGTGCCGCTTATGACAGTTGATAAAAATGATACACGTTTTATGTTTCATGCGCATGCCCCTGTAACTAGCAAAAAACTGTTTTGAAGGAGCGTTCCATGTCCCGTAAGACTTCCCTGGTAAGCTTCTACGCAACGCGCAG